TCTTTAGACTTGTGGTACAAGTTTGGCTAGTATGTAAATCAGAAGTGGTCTGATGTTACTGTTGTTTTCTGCACGAATATTTCGAGGGCGGTAGTACGGGTGGGGTTTTATAGGCATATATAAGTCCTGATTACGTTTGATTATTATCGATGTGCTCCAGTAACTTTGATCGACGAAGTTAACGTTAAGCTCTGCATAATATATTACAGTTATGTTTGTATTGATATGTATTTAGAGGACATTGTGAATGTGTATAGATGGAATTGTGGTATACTTTTGTAATTTGTAAAATGTTTACAAGATATTAAATGTTGTTTCGCTGAGAAAATAAGAAAGTTACTGCGAGCAAACAAACCTAAATTATGACTTGTCTCTTATTTAGCCATGTATTTAGTATAGAAATGTTTTAAATTCGGACGAATTCATGAGGGAGAATTTAAATATACATTTGGTGTACTTACGGTCAAACTTTAGTTCTTTTTTGGAACAACATTTTTCAATAAGAAACCAGAAAAACGCATTTATCAAAATTGCTGTTTTGAAACACTAAGGTTTTTCTACACCCAGGCAAATACGGCCTTATCCGTATTGGCACATCTCTTCGGATTTTTAGCTTATAATGCTCTTAATGCCTGTACCAAGTCAGGAATATGACAGTTGTTATCAATTCGTTCGATGTGTTTGAGCTTTTGATTTTGCCATTTGATTAGGGACTTTCCTTTTTGAATTTTCCTCGGAGTACAGTATTTTTGTGATTTTACTTTTTTCTTAAACGTCGTGTTTGATTTGTCTTTCCAACTTTTTTTATTCGAGTGCCACTGATGAGTCTTTTGTACACGCGTGTATGGGTAACACATTATACGCCTTGTATCTTTGGTTTGCTTTTTAAGCCATATATCAGTATCAATAATTTAATAAAAATTTTGTATTATAATGATATAATATTTGTAAAACTGAAAGCTCTCATCTGATGCTGTGTTATTTAAAAATTTAGTAAATTTTGTAATTACTACGCAAGAAATAGGTTGTACATCTTGTAAGTTAAAGAAACAATCAATTATGCACATAACCCGTATCATTTATCCTTGCATTTAGGGTATATACATATTGCAACGACATTTACTTCAAAGCATATGATGAAAATAAATGTATCTAGCTTAAAAGCTTAAACAGAAAAGATTTATACGAAGATGTGGTAGGTGTCAATTAAGGTAAACATATTAAGGTAACTGTTCTGGCTTTTAAAGATCAACAGGGGCTAACACCTCAAGGTGATAATGATAATAATATTGGTAATGTAAACACTCCGTCGTTCACTGAACTTAAAATGTGAGTCTATCGAGTCATTCAGTCAAGAGGAAGCCAACCGTATTCAAACCAATATAGAATCTGAAACAACTTTTGCAGTTTCATTAAAAATACCGGCTTATACCCATAAAATGTTATGTTCGTGTTCTAGTCCTAGGGTAGACAATGAATTAAAAAAAGGTCGACTTGAGTTGGCATTAGAAAAAAGCGATTTATCATTACATAATTAAGTTCTGAACTTCAGTACAAAATGCACAGAGTGATGAATATTGAGTAGAAAATTTCTTGACTGTGGTCGGCAATATTATTGGATATTTTTCGTTTCAATTGACCCTGTGGTTTTCGATGAAAATATTTAGATAAATGATTACAACAATGAAATTTATTTTGTTCTATAATGCTAATTTGAAGGCATGAAATGACAAGAATAAAATAAAAGACCAGTATAAAAGATTTCGAAACTATTTTTTTAAAAGTTTTGTTCTTGCTTTCCCTTTTTTGAATTGAAATGCGTTCCTAATCTAAATGCATTTAACCCATTAATTTCTTCGATAGTTTTATCAATTGCTATGGACTTTCCCTTTTCGAATTCGGTAACTTTGTTATACTTTTTTAGGTTATATGCTTATTGCCAAATCATTTACCTCAATGCTGAGAATGGAAATAAATGTGTACAACCTTAAATCTTAAATGAAAATGCTAAGGCCGATTCCAGAAACACATGCACGGAAACAATTTCAATTGTTGGTTTTATGAGATATACATATTACATTTTTTTTAATGTGTCTTCTGAATACATGTAACATTTTCAAAAATGAAAAGAACTGCATCTTATAAATAATTAAAAAAAAAAATTTTTTTTAATCTTATTTACATTTACAGGAAGATGACTCAAACTAGGGTCAATAATGATGAATCAGTCCCGTAATGGTCATTATTGTCACCATAGGTTATCAGTACTACGATTAAAATATATTTTATGTATGATTTACTTATAATAACAATGAAACATGAAATTCGACTTAACGATTTCCGTTATATTTCAACATATTAAAAATCTGAATACATAAATGTATAATGATGACCTAACAAGTATAGACCTAATTTACACTTTAAGAAAACCATACTAGGTTTCTTTGGGTCACTGTTCGGTTTTCAAAGATAAAAAGGTGCTAAAACCTGAAGGTGATAATAATTATGATTGAAAAGCAAAGCTTAAGAGAACAATCTAAATCTTTTCCAGCTGTTAAATTGTTGAAAAATATGTTGAAGATAATAGTAATTTCCTGTTTAAAGAGATAATTACTAGGAAATTATTTGATACTTCCTGTGTGCATGGTGTCGCATCTGGTCTCATTTGATATTTCCTATAAGCTGAATTCAAAAATGTATGGTTTTGTTCTTTTTCCGTGAAATTACTGCCATAATTGGCTACTTCTGATTTACATAAGATCTCTCCAGGTTGACATAAAAGTATACTAAAGACACGATGGCTTTATCATACTTCATTGAGAAGCTTACTTTCAAACAACTCGTATTAGATGTATTAGGATCTCTTCCTACTCAATGTACCTTATTTTTTTTTTATCTCAAAAACAAAACCATAAAATTCTATATATAAGAAATTTCATAGTTCCTGGAAAAGCCTCAAAGTACTTTATCTGTTAATTGTTGATAATAACATCATGCCAACTGTCTTTCTTATATCATTGAACAATTCATTAATTTTTGTAAAACTAATGGATATGATGAACTAACAAGTATCAATGATTTTGCAAAATAGTACATAATCCAATATCAATGTTAAAATTATAAACTGTTCTACGTTATTGGCAATTATTACTTGTTATTTTATAATTAAGAAAACGTTTACTCTTTCTCTACAGTAATTTCTTCAAAAACAGACATTAATATGCATTCATGCTAATTTAAAAGCATGGAAAATGAGAATAAAATAAAATACCAGTGTGAAATATTGCAAAACTAACTCTTTTTAAGTTTTGTTCTTGCTTTTCCTTTTATGACTTCAAAGACATTCGGAATATATAAAAACCAAAATGCATTTAAAAAAAATGTACATTGGCTTCAAGTTTTGATTTGGAACAACCATTCATCAATTTTATAAATTAACTCAGAAATCATCAGAAAAAACTATAACATTGATGTGCAGTCTATCAGCATCACTAATTTGAGCAAATGTTTAGAATTATAATGACGTAATATGGTCAAACATGATAGCTTACACCTGATGATATGATATTTTGATTTTCTGTAAAGATTCAAAAGGTGTGTAATGCATTCAATGGTTACATGATCAATAAATACTCGAGAAAGAGGTCGTACATCTTTTATGTTAAAAAGTAGGAATAATGCATAAACGCCACTCATTTTTGTCTGCATTAGGGTAAATGCTTATTGATAAAGCATTTACTTTACTGCTGAAAATAGAATTAAATGTATAAAGCTTTAAAGCTAAAATGAAAATGACAAAGCCGATTCCAGAAACACATGCACAGAAACCATTTCATTTGTTTGTTTTATGAGATATACATATAACATTTTTTTGTTTTTAAATTATCTTCTGAATACATGTTATATTTTCAGAAATAAAGAGAACTACATAAATAAAAAAGATATATTTCCTGTATCTTATTTACGTTAATAAGAAGATAAATCAATATAGGATCAATAATCAGGAAATCAGTTCAATATTGCTAATTATTGTGAACAAAGGTTATCATTAATACGAATACAATTTGTTTTATATATGGTTGAATTATAATCACGATAAAATATAAAACTCGACTTGACGATTGTCCGTAATTTTTTAACATTTTGAAAATATAAATACTTAAACGTAAAAGAGACATTAGATACAATTTCCACATTAAGAAAACCGAACTAGGCTTCTTTAGGTAATTTTTTGGACTTGAAAGACCAAAAGGTACTAAAAATCCCAAGGTGATATTAACCATTATTAAAAAGCAAGGCGTAAGAGAACAGTTGAAGGTCTTTCCAACTGCTAATTTGTTGAACATTTGTTGGTGGTAACAGTAATTTCCTGAGTAAAGAAATAATTAAGAGGAAATAATTTGATACTTCCTGTTTACATGGCGTAACATCTGGTCTCATTTGATATTTCCTTTACGCTAAATTCAAAAATATATGGTTTTGTTCTTTTTTAAATGGCAACTTCCAATTTACATCAGATCTCTCCCGGTTGACCTTTTTTCAAGGTAAATACCTGCTAACAGATCCTAACATTATCATAAAACCCAGATTAATATTATTTTGATAAATGATAGCTTTTAGATTAAAGAGATAACAGTACAAATGATCCAGATAACCCTTACAAGAAATAACGATCGGTTTTACATAATACCACATCTCAACAACTCAATATCTAAGAAAGTCAGTAGTTCCTCGAAACACCTCAAAGTTCTTTATCTGTTAATTGTTAATAACGACATCATGTCCTCTGTCTTTCTAATATCATTGAAACATTCATTAGTTCATGTAAACTAACGGATATGATGCCCTAGCAAATATCAATGATTTTGCATAATATATAATCCAATATTAATGTTAAAATTTAAATCTGTTCTACGTTATTGGCAAGCATTACTTGTTGGTTTTTAATTAAGAAAATACTTGCTCTTTCCCTGCTGTAACTTTAAAGTCTTCAAACTACGTTAGTTTCAAATTCTTTATTAAAATGCTTCATCGTTGCAGATAATCACATAATACATATAGTAAAAAGCTACAAAGAGAAAAATAAAAATCATAAACTCAAATGCCGTAATTTACCGAAAAATTACAAGAAAATAAACATTGTCAAAATGACACTCATTGACCTCCATACATTTATTTTTAAGTATAAAAATTCCTATGAATAATTATAAGTTCAAAACATAAACAAACATGAAGTAAATAGCAAAATTAACGTAAAACAACTTTGGCATTAATTGCATTCCATGAAGTAAAAAATTATAAAAATAGAAATACAGGTGTAAAGATGGCACTAACGGCGTTCCATAGATTTTTTACCCGCTAGCAACTCTGTACTACTAAAAGGTTAATTAGCTTAAATTTAATAAGAAAAATACAATTGCAAGAATAATATTTTAACTTTAACGCTAAAATAATTAATTATCCTAAAATAAACGGTGTACATAATGCAAAACATACAAAATGCTGATGTAAACAAACATGACCTGTGTGCACGTTAATCGGCAGTTCAAACAAAGAAAACGTAGATAATTAATTGCTTAAACTTATCAAAAATATGAAATATTTACTTAAAGTTATAAAATAAAATAATATAAAAATTAACTCACACTGTAGTTTACCAAAGATTGCACGAAAATCGAAAATATCGAAAGCGAAACACAATCTTTCTTCACAATGCCATGTGGGAATCTAAATGAAACTGATAAGAAATAACACGTGTTTCAAACAGTAAAAGCACGTGTAAAAATGCGGGAAATTTGAATTATCAAAAATAAGTATATTAATAAAATGTTGTGGTAACATGACACTCCCCGTCTGATATAACAATATCACCCTAGGTTTTAAACAAAAATACTTAAGACTTCAAGTATGAGCTAAAAAACCTCGTTAACAAAAATCTCAAAAAGAAAATTAACTAGACTACTTAAATCTAAGGCACATTTTTGTAACTACTATCTAAAATGTTAAACTAATAAAGTCAATGTACATATCAACAGTTCAAATATTGTTCAAAAGTATCACTCAGACAATAGCTTCACAATCTCTGTAATCGGACGAACATAAATAACTGGTTTTCCTTGTTTAATAACTCTCACTTCTATTTTCCTTATAAGATTGTCATTTTCGCTGGCGAATGTTCTTAATATTGTTCCAATTGGCCATTCGGTCCTAACCATGTCTTTTTCTCGCATAAGAATAATGTCGCCCTGTTTCAAATTTGTCACTTCCTTTTTCCACTTTTGTCTCTTTTGTAATGTTTGCAGATATTCCCTACTCCAACGTTTCCAAAATATCTCAGCTAATGTTTGAACATATTTCCATTGTGATTGGTACATACATGTAGTTGATGTTATATTTTCAAAGCTATCTTCCTGATCAGATGTTTTCTGAGTTAATAATAGAGAAGGTGTCAGTATTGTAGGATTCTCAGAATCAGTGGAGACTGGTACAATCGGTCGGGCGTTTATAATGGCTGTTACCTCTGCCATAAATGTTGTTAGAACTTCGTGAGTCAAATTCTTGTATCTCACGTCGAAAAGCATGTTATTTAGAATTTTACGAGCTATTCCAATCATTCGCTCCCATGAGCCACCCATGTGAGAAGAATGAGGCGTATTAAATTTCCATATTGTCCTATTCTTGTTGAGAAGTGTTTTTACTTCGCCATCTTCAACGTTTAATGCATCGATTTGCAGGGCGTCGGTACATCCAACGAAGTTCGAACCTCTGTCAGAACGGAATTCTTGCACTTTGCCTCGAAGTGCATAGAATCGGCGTAGAGCGTTGATGAAAGAAGAGGAACTCATTTCTTCTATTACCTCTATATGGACTGCTCTAGATGCTAAGCATGTAAATAAGACTGCCCATCTCTTAGAATTTGCTACACCTCCTCTAGTGCGTCTGGTTACTATGCTCCATGGTCCAAAAACATCTACACCAACAAAACTAAACGGTGCACATGGCGATAATCTTACGTCTGGTAAATCAGCCATTTTCTGTTCACTCAACGAACCTCGAAGTCGTCGACATTTAACGCATTTAAAAATTATAGATGAGACCAGTCGTTTGCAGCCTGTAATCCACCACCCAGCAGATCGAATGGTACCTTCAGTAAGATGTCTCCCTTGATGTTGTACATCGTAATGGTAGTGACGGACAAGCAAAGTAGCAATATGATGTTTTCCAGAAATAAGGATCGGTGTTTTTTCTTTTGATGTGATTTTAGCATTTCGAAGTCTTCCCCCTACTTTCAAAATTCCATTTTCGTCCAAGACGGGACTCAAAGATAACACGGAACTGTTGTTAGGCAGAGGCCTTTTATTTCTGAGACACTCGATTTCTCTACCAAAGTCCTCCTTTTGAACTTCTTTAATGATAAAAACTTCAGCTTTTCGATGAGCGTCAAGCTCGTTTGACTCCAAATTGGCCTTTAATTTGTTGTGAGAGTAACTACTAGCAAGTCGCTGTAGGCGTGAAATGGTACGAACTAATTTCCACCAATTGGAGAATCGGTTGAATCTTTGTGACCCAAGGGTATCACATTTTAAAACAGATTTTATGACTTGTATTTCTGTTTTCAATTCTTTGTCAGTGTTAGGATTTATGAGAGGAAAAGTAGTAGCAATGCTTTGACTAAGCGTGTCAGATTCCTGTAAGAATGTGGGTCCTGTAAGCCAAGAACTAGTTTGTAGCTGATCTGCAAATATAAGTCTTGTTCCAATATCGGCTGGATTAAGATCAGTATTTACATACGTCCATTGTTCCGGTTTTGAAGCTTTCCTAATTTTACCAACTCGGTTTGCAACATAGACTTGAAAACGTCTAACTTGGTTGTTAATGTAACCTAGCACTACCTTACTATCTGTATAGTACTTTATCTCAGCCGAGTTCATGTCTAGATGTTCACAGATTATCTCTCCGATTTCAACAGCCATAACTGCGGCACATAGTTCTAATCGTGGTATTGTATGGCCATGTTTTGGTGCCACTTTGCATTTTCCGAATACGAAACCGGTGTTGATAGAAAACTCTGCGTTAGATGTTCTCAAAAAAGCTACACTTGCTATTGCCTGTTCTGAGGCGTCCGAGAAAATGTGTAACTGTTTGTCCAAGCTTGTACAGAAAGACGATTCTACAAATGTTCTTCGTATTGAAAATTGTTCTATTGGCCTTAAAGAGTTTCTCCATTCTAGCCATTTTTGCTGAATATCATTAGATAGTGGTAAGTCCCAGTCAGTGGTTTCGGCAATTATATCTCTCATTAGAATTCTACCTTGTAGAATGACAGGGGCGATAAAACCTAATGGGTCGAACAAGCTATTTATTGATGATAACACACCTCTACGTGTTACAGGTTTCTCTTCGTTTGATAATTTGTAGCTAAACGAGTCCTGTTGCAAGTCCCAACTCATTCCAAGACTGTGCTGAATAGGTAGCTCATCTTCGTTTAGATCTAAGGTTTTGAGCTCTTTAGCCAACTCATTTGGATTGAAAGCGTTCATTACTTCTTCACTGTTCGATGCAATTTTATGAAGTTTCAATTTTCCGTTTTCAAGTAGAGATTGCTGAGTCCTTTTAAGGACACTGATAGCTTCTTCCTCATTTGTAAAATTAGCCAGTCCGTCATCCACATAAAAATTTCTATTAACGTATTCTTTGACATCGCTTTCTGTTTGTTCATTTTCAACACATTTCCTTAGCCCGTAGGTGGCAATTGCTGGTGACGGTGTGTTCCCAAAAACGTGGACACACATTCTGTATTCTATAAGCTGCTGTCCAGGAATGTTGTTCTTGTACCAAAAGAATCGTAAATAGTTACGGTGTGCACTGTTTACCTTGAAACAGTAAAACATTTGCTCTATGTCGGCGATTACTGCAATTCTTTCTTTTCTGAATCTTAGCAATACTCCAACCAAACTATTTGTAAAATCCGGTCCAGAGAGTAGAACATTATTTAAGGATATGCCATCCTGTTTAGCCGAGGAATCGAAAACAACCCTTATTTTATCTTTTTTCTTAGGGTGGTACACTCCAAATAAAGGCAGATACCAACATTCTTCGCCTTGTTTCAAAGTTGGAGCTTCTTCAGCATGACCATTACGAAACATGTTTCCCATGAATTCTACAAAATGTTGACGCTTACTCGTACTTTTATGAAGAGACTGGTCGAGCATTCTAGCCCTTCTCAATGCTTGAGATCTGTTGTCAGGTAATCGAGGTCTATGCTTCCGGAACGGTAGAGGAGCACTCCAATTGCCTGTTTCACTTTTGACAAATTCCTTGTCCATGATGTCTATAAATACATGGTCTTCTACGGACATGCCAATCTTATTATCGTCCTTTGTCCTGTAGAATATCTGATCTTCCACGGTATCTTGGTGATTGTTGACAATTTCTTTAACGTTAAAGACGTTTTTACATACGTCAAATGATGTTGGCCTTCCATTGTTTAGAATGTTTGTTTTATACACGTTTACCTTCGAATTAGGCTTGTGCGTTTGGCCTAAGCATACTTCACCGATAATGACCCATCCTAAACTGAGTCGTTGTGCAAATGGCGTGTTTTGAGCTCCTGTCTTTTGCTCATAGACGTGGTGTGCATCGGCCAAGTCTCTACCGATCAGTAAGAGAATATGTGCATCCGGATCTATAGGTGGTAATGTAATACGCTTCAAGTGTTCGTAATATTTTGTGATTTCTGGCACCGGAATTTCTTCTCTCGTTTCAGGAATGTCGTTGCATTCAATTACAGTTGGTAAATCCATTCTTATTCGTCCATCTATAGGTTCAACGACTAACCCGCTAGCAAGACGGCCTTGCTTTTGAACACTTCCTGCACAGGAAGATAAAGTGTAAGGTTGAACGGCTGAATCTATATTCAGTGCATCGAATAACTCTGTACGGCCTAGCGTACGATTACTTTGATCGTCCATTAACGCATAAAGATGTACGGATTTCTCAGGTTCGTCTTTCTTGTAAACCTTGACAAGTACCACCTTTGAACAGGATTTGCCAGAAAATCCTTCCCCACAAATTGCAGTACACTTCGTTTCTACATTTTGAAGCAATGGTCCCTCCCCGCCATGAGAGGACACGGGTTCTATTTCTCTTGTATTTTGATCATTCCTATCGATATGCATAGCTGTTGAATGTCGGTTACTTCCGCAATCTTTGCATGTGACGGACTCCTTACAATCTCGAAATATGTGCGTTGCTGACTCGCAACATTTGTAACAGATGTTGTTTTCTCGAAGAATTTTCTTTCTGTCATTTATACTTTTTAGTCGGAATCCTCTACAACTGTTCAACGAGTGTTTTGAATGGTGAATAGGACATTCTGTAAGTTTATCAGTCGAGCCAGTAGATTTAAACTGTTTTTCTTGTGATACATCTGTCTTTCTAGCTGTGACTTTGTTGTTATATCTATTGTTGTTAGGATACGATTTTGTGTGTTGAGGTTTGGTGTCTTCTTTAAAAGCAAAGCCTGGGTCATTGAATTGTTTGCACATTTCTCTGATGAAACCGACGAAAAACGGAAATGGTGGATACAGTGCGTTATGGTTTTGCTTGTATCGCATGGCTCTATCAATCCACTTGTTCTGAATCCCATATGGTAATTTAGTTATCACGGTGTTAACGCCTAGCGAAGTATCAAAGTAAGACAATAACTGTGCGTATCTTTCGTCCTCTTTCAGGGATTCGATTTCTGTTAAAATGTCGCTAAGTTCATATAATTTCTTGTGGTCTTTGTTGGTAATTATTGGAAATTTATTCAATTTTGATTTCACATTCGTTTCAATCATTTCTGGTCCGCCATATCTCTCTTCAAGTCTTTCCCATACCCGCTTCAGACATTTTACTGGGTCTCTTGCATTGGCTATCCTTAGACTTTCTGCATGTCTTGATGATTCTGGCCCAAGCCATTTCATCAATAAATCAAGTTCCTCACGAGCGTTGACGCTAAGTTCTTGAGTTATATTGGAAAACGAAGCTTTCCAAACATGATAAGACTCTGCTTGATCGTTAAATTTCATAAAACGAGACATCAATAAATCCTTCTTTAATAAGAACTTTGAGAGTTCGTTTGCCACGGAAACGTTGTTGATTTCACAATTTGTTTGTCTAATATCTTCGGATTTAGGTTCAAACGGTGCGGCGTGAACGTTGAGCTCTGGAGGTTGCATTTGTTGAGGATTTGTATATCCTGATTTCATTATTTCCTGTTGTTCCTGTAGATACCTCTCGATGTGTTGACGAGGATCAACAACTGACGCCATGGATCTACCGCTAGATCGTGATCCCTCCATCTCCAACTCTTCACGGACGGCATTAAACTCAGCTTCAGCAATTGCAACTTCTTTCTCTGATTTTAAAAGTTCCATTTGTAACTTTGCTTCGACTTTCTTCTTTAATAATTCTGCTTTTGTTTTAAGTTCTTCCTCTTCAAGCTTAAATTGTAATCTTTCAAGTTCTGCCTCTTTACTTACAAAGCGTAGATTTGTCTTAGCAGCATCCATTTTTGCTCTTTGTTTAATTAGCATTGAACTTGCGGAGGAGGATTTAGATTTTCTACCAGTAGCGAAAGATTTTACTGATTGCACCTGCTTCAATTTAATGTCGATCTCATTTAAAATTGTTTTAGCCTTTGACATAATACTTTTGTAGATTAATTTTTGTATTGCCTCTTCCCGGGCGCTCTCTGCGGTCTGTATCTGTTCAAAAAGCCGATGAATTTTTCTGAAATTTGTTGATATTTTGACAGTTCCGTTTTAATTCTGTCTGGCATTAATCTAACATCTGATATTTCTAGTTCTCCTGAGTAGTAACTATTGATTAAGATATCTAGGTTCTTCCTATAGTGGATTAGCTCCGCAGTGTATTTTTCAACGTCTTTTTCGTACATTTCCTCTCCCCCGGACGTTAACTTTCTCACCCGTATTGGCTTTACGTCTTCATGTGATTGTGTTTTAATTGAATCATCAATAATAAATGGTAGGTTGCCTTGACCGTCATCGTTTATTTCATCTTCAGTTTCCATAAAAGGTTTGCCTTGAACCTTTTCCATTTTACGAATTACTGTTTCAGTGCTCATCCCTGTGGTAAAGGATGCAGTCTTTTTACTTTAAAGTCTTCAAACTACGTTAGTTTCAAATTCTTTATTAAAATGCTTCATCGTTGCAGATAATCACATAATACATATAGTAAAAAGCTACAAAGAGAAAAATAAAAATCATAAACTCAAATGCCGTAATTTACCGAAAAATTACAAGAAAATAAACATTGTCAAAATGACACTCATTGACCTCCATACATTTATTTTTAAGTATAAAAATTCCTATGAATAATTATAAGTTCAAAACATAAACAAACATGAAGTAAATAGCAAAATTAACGTAAAACAACTTTGGCATTAATTGCATTCCATAAAGTAAAAAATTATAAAAATAGAAATACAGGTGTAAAGATGGCACTAACGGCGTTCCATAGATTTTTTACCCGCTAGCAACTCTGTACTACTAAAAGGTTAATTAGCTTAAATTTAATAAGAAAAATACAATTGCAAGAATAATATTTTAACTTTAACGCTAAAATAATTAATTATCCTAAAATAAACGGTGTACATAATGCAAAACATACAAAATGCTGATGTAAACAAACATGACCTGTGTGCACGTTAATCGGCAGTTCAAACAAAGAAAACGTAGATAATTAATTGCTTAAACTTATCAAAAATATGAAATATTTACTTAAAGTTATAAAATAAAATAATATAAAAATTAACTCACACTGTAGTTTACCAAAGATTGCACGAAAATCGAAAATATCGAAAGCGAAACACAATCTTTCTTCACAATGCCATGTGGGAATCTAAATGAAACTGATAAGAAATAACACGTGTTTCAAACAGTAAAAGCACGTGTAAAAATGCGGGAAATTTGAATTATCAAAAATAAGTATATTAATAAAATGTTGTGGTAACATGACAGTAACTTTGTTACTTATCCTCAAAGACAAACATGAAATGCCATTTACTAATTAATAGATTGCAATCCGCAATTGGCTCATGAGTTATTGCTATGATTTCATCTTGACAATGCCTATTAATGAGGGTTATATCTCGATATAAATGATCGGTGAGTTATGTCTAAATAATTGTTCTTATTTTGCATTTTTATCCATGAAATATTTGAATTAAGGCTATTGAAGATGGTAGACAAATATGCATAAATGTGAAGTTTAATGATTGGACGTACCTTCATCAGAAGTAAACTGAGATTGGAAAGCATGTATAAATACATTGACAACTTATGAAATCATAAAAAGTCTGTAACGAAAAGTATAAAAAAAAAACTTTCAATGTGAAGTTCATTTGAAATATATATTAATGGAATCACAGTTATCAGCAGAGACTGTTTCAACATGTACGTATTTAACCATGTCCATTGCCAAAACATTGACACTTGTGCACATTTTAAAGAAATATCTATTTTATTATAAGAGATTTTACTTTACAAGAGAATACTTTTCCTATGGTTACCAATTACACCCCTTAATAGCAGAATTGTTCCTGTTATGAATCACAGTTAATGACCAAACTGCGAGTACTCTCAGATCTGTCCTTAGTGTCTTTTTTGTTGTTACTAGGTATGAAGGATGGATATATACCCTGACACGTTCTGTCTACGTTTTAGTTGTTATGTTTTTTTTTGTAACAATCTGATGAGTTAAGCCTTTTTCAACTGATTTTTATAGTTTGTTCTTTTTTCCTAAAATGTCCTGTACCAAGTCAGAAATATGGCAATTGTTATCAAATAGTCCGTTTCTATCTATGTTGGCCTTTGTTCTTGTTGCAGTTTAGTGTTTCTGTTGTTTTCCTTTTTGCCCTAGTTGATGCGTTTCCCTTTATAGTTGATGTGTTTCCCTGGGTTTTGGTTTGTGACCCGGATTTGTTTTCGCTTAATCGATTTATGACTATTGAACAGCGGTATATTTCTGTTGCCTTTATTTCATTGATTAATTATCGAGCCAAGAAATTCGTTACCACAGATAACTTAAAAACTTTACTTAATTCTTATATATATACAAAGATTTGATTTGTAAATTTGGTTGTCCTTGTAGAAAACTTATAACTAACGGGATATCACAGTCAGGATTCTATTTCTTTAAAATTATCTCCTCGTTACGCCACTTATTTCTTTCAGTCGTGAAAATGGAAGCCATTGTAAAGATTACGCGCTGTCAATTTAGCTCTTTAAAACTGAAAAATGTGTCCACAAGCATCATACTGAAAATTGTTTGAGAAATTATTGCATAACAGCTTTTGAAAAATTCAGTTTAGTCTTTAATATAAATGACATGTTTGGTGTCTTCACGTTAGTAGAATACTATATTTGTACATAGCAAGATGTCAATTTTCTAAAAATCTATTTTATATGTCATTTTCTATAGTTACCAACGAAACAGTCATTTATGTTCAAAAGAAATTGCTAATGTTATAAAGTTGAATGTTGGCACTAAAATGTATGAAAATGTAATGAAATGAATTTTTCCTAAAAGATATTAATGAGTATATATATACAACATGTATTTCAAATAATATAAATCAGTATACGATTCATTCAAAAGAAACACATATTTCATTTGAGGTTTCAGTCAAACCTAACTCTACAATTTTGAGATCCAAGATGGCTGCTTCACTTTTAGACTCTACCCTGACCTTCATTCACAGTGTCGATCTACATGGAAAAAATGCAGATGAAGTTGATGTTTACAAACATTATATTAAACACATACCACAATGCAATGATGGGTTATCTAATCTTTTTTGCATACTTCACCAGGATATTAAAAGCTTTATATTACATGACATAACATCCATGAAGTCGTTAGCGACATCGTTAATGCATTTATATATCGAAAATAGTTTGAAGACATTAGTAATCGCTATTGATTATCTATCATTAGTCATGCTCGACTAATAACGAACGTAATTTAGATGTAAATGAAGTTCACCTTGTGATTTAAGCAGCTGATCTACATTCCTATTGTTGTAATTTGAATCTGATATTAACATACTATTTAATCCTAATCGACTACTAAGGAATACTGTAAAAGTTTAAAAACGATATAAAAATCTCATAAATTTCAATCAACTGCAGTAGCTAACACTATCATTGTACAAAGACATGACCAATTGAGTAGCAGAATGAAATTTGAAATATGATTCAGGTGTCTATTTTATTATTTTGTATCACGACATCTTCAATCCGTAACCTTACATACCATAGATACTTGTTATGTATGTAATGACAAGTTATTTGGTATAAAAACGAGATTTTCGAATTGAATACTCACTTTAAAACTTTTAAACGAAAATAGATAAATCAGTAATCCAAAAGCAGGAATCGTTCATCTAGAAATATCATAACTTATCTTACTTTTTTCTGGTTACAGTCTTACATGCCGTTTGCACTCTTATATTGTATGCTGCATTAAAAAAAGATATCGAACAGCAACCATTATACACAATTTAATGCAATACCCCCTGTAATGAAATTTTAAATGGATCAATTTGAAAGGAACATTTAAGTTTGTACTAACATGAGCAACACGACAGGTGCCACATGTTGAGCCGGATCTGCTTACCCTTCCGGAACACCTGAGATAACCATAAGTTTTTGGTGGGGTTATTGTTTCAGTCTTCAGGTTTTTTTTGTGTTTTGTGTACTGTTGTTTGTCTGTTTGTCTGTTGTTCTTTTTCTTTTTTAGCCATGGCGATTTCAGTTTATTATTGACTTATGAGATCGAATGTCCCTTTGGTATCGTTTGCCTCTCTTTTTGCCTTGCATCACTATATCAGTTAATTGAATGGTGTTTCTCTTTGAAAATATCAGACGTATATACGTAGTGATTAAACACAACCTTGTTGGTTCCTGTTTTTGTTTTTTTTTTACTCACTAAGTGGTTGTATTAGTTTCCAGGTTCAAAACGCAGTTATTGCTGTATACTGTAAGACAAGCATCTATTGCATTTTCCTGCATAACTATTAACATTTAATCGTGCGAATGTAAGAATGATAAGTTTATAAAAAAAATTACAATTTATAAACAAAATATGGTAGCTTTGATAACGTCGAGAGAGGAAAACGAAACCTCAAGGGATATTCAAAACTCATAAGGTCAAAACAAACTGACAATGCCATGGTAAAAAAACAAACCGAAAAACTACCAAAAGACAAACATCAGTTTACAACACACACCACAGAAAACTATGAACTGAGCAATATGAATCCAACAAAAACCGGAGGGGGGAGGGGTTGATCTCAGGTGCTCCGGATGCGTAGGCAGATGCTTCTCCGCATGTGGCAGTTGTCGTGTTGCTCATATAAGTACAAAACCAGTGATAAATCTTATTCGGTAGGTCACATTCGAGGAAAGAGGACGGGATTGTGGTTACGAGAATTGGAACATATCCGTCGTCATCTGTGGAACAGATATTCCATAACAATAAACCAACTCATGATGGCGTCCTTAAATTTTTCGAAGGGTTGATTTCCAAATATGAATAAAAGGTCTTATTAATCAATGAGACATCAACCTTACGACAAACAAACCAAAAAGATCTGTAGGTCTTTATAAAAAAAACAAGGTCTCCAACAGCAGACAAATGATTTAGTTACACTATGGCAAAGTCCATAAATTAACATGATTCTGAAAATGTTCGCAATATGTTTATCAAAGTATTGCTTTAAACTTTAAATTCTCAAATTGATGTTCATCTAATATCGCACACTAATAACAGCAGAATAATTCTAACCTTTTATCAAAAAGTCTATTTAGCACCAAAAGAAAAAAAGAAATAGATTGAAATGGACATTTTCTTCATTAAATATCGTTATTGATAAGCATTGAACTTTGTAAATGTCACAAGTGTTCACGAACTTATAATATTTATTAATTTAGCATTTCCTGAAACTCATTTCCGAAAGCCCGAATCTAATTTTAAGTTTGCATTTGAATACGAGTTCTTTCATTGCTTGGAAGTAAACTGGTAAAAGTACTTGTTTGCTACAGTGCAGAGCAATGGTGAGATATAAATAAAAAACCAAGTGATTCTTTTTTCTAGGTTTGATTCAAGTTTGGTTTAAGGCAAACAACCATTGATAATTTCTAAATTTATACAAACCAAATATTAACTATAAATCAACGAATGGTCGTTGATTCTTATTTCAGCTTTTTTGCCGCGACGCAGTTCTATTGCCCGACAAGGGGCATCACCTATAACTTTTAGAGTAAAATTTATGATTCTGGAAACCGGTTTCTAAGAAGGGCTATACCATCAATTATAAAGGCTATATATGTTACGTATACACGATTTTACAAAGAAACAGATATATAGACGACTTTCTTTAAACACTCCATATTCTCCCACTTTATACATGTAGGACTCTAAAGTGCGATGGTACTCTAAAGTACGATGGTCACGCTAAAGTCCGATGGTCTACGCTAAAGTGCGGTAGTGTATGACGCTAAAGTGCGATGGTGTAACGGGAATGTGGTTCAGGCAATGGTTTTGTTTGTTGCTGAGTTCCTATTACTTCTTCGTTTATTGTTTTATTAATATATCAAGTCTTCTGAATTTTTTAACACTGGTCATTATATAACCCTGCATAGCTTGTTATGCGGCATGGGCCAAGGCTTTACGTTGAAGGCCGTATGATTAATAGTTGAATACATGAACGGCATGTGGGGTTGAATGGATAGTTTATACTACATCTTCTTATTTTTATCTCAAGTACGATAGTTGTCCAAAAAGTGTTATAGTTACATTGCAGTAGTTAGTATATACTGAATTAATGGTAGTCGTTTGTTGGTATATTTTTATATTTGCTATTCGTAAATTGTGTTATATTTAAATCAGGTTGTTATTTTTCTCGTTTGAATGGTTTTACATTGGTTGTTTTGAGGCCCTTTGGACTTA